CTGTCTGTCTGTCTGTCTGTCCTTCTGTCTGTCCCCGTCTGATCATGTTATATTTGGTCCCCCCAGTGTGATTAAAACACTGTTATGATTTTCGGTCCCACAATGGGAAACTCAATGAAAAACCTGTGACCCCAATCAAGAAAACTAAAAATGTCTTCTATTTTCTTTGGTAGCTTATGGTTAAGGTTAGGGCTGGGTAGGGGTTAAGATTGTCATTGTTGGGATTAGGGTTATGCCCACGGAAATGAACTGAGAGTCCCTATAAACATATGAAGTGTGTGTGTGTGTGAGAGAGAGGGAGAGATGGGAATTCAAATTCTGATCAGGCTGTCCAATCAATGCCTGTCGCACAGAGAGGTATCTTTTCATCCTCCCTTGTTCCCTCACCATCACTCGCTGTATGTGGAGGCCAAACTGCAGCCCCCACCGCTGCAGCTTCAGGACAGCAGCCTGTCTGGCTGTTTCTGCCCAGCAGTAGCGCTGCTCCTTTGTCAGGCTATTTGCTCATGTGTGCAATTGGTAATAAATGCCGTCATTCATGTAGATTAACCATCCATTAGTTTTTGGGAAATGTGCTATTCTCGACTACCAGGTCATGTCTTATTTGAAATTATCATACAGAAATGTCCTATATCAGCTTGTTATAAGCTGTTTTGGGTTAAATACTGACTTTACTCCATTGTCTGTGTGTCAGCATCGTATCATTTTATTTGTACTGTAAAACTGAACGCACCGGTAGAACATGGTCCGATACAGCCATTGGCTGGTGAATCAATGGCGTCATGGCAATAAGTGGGTGATACTTACCAGGAGACTAAGCAATCCGTAGTTTAAGGTCTGTGTGATGCAAGATGTGAGGCTTTTTTGGGGGAAGATTGTCTGTTATGGCACCACATGTCCCTGGAGGTGTGGCTTCCGCTGGTGGTGTGCGGAGCGTGTCCATTCTGTCTGAAGATGTATGCGGCTGCCTGTGTTTTATAAGCCCCAGCTGAATTCTGGCTGCACAGGCTATCAGCCCGAGCTCAGCGCTTGGTGAAAAACGCGCCGGCCTCCTAAATGGGCTCACTGTGCACTCCCTTGCTCTGTGACAAAGGGCTTCCTTGTGTCTCCCTCCTGCTCCACTGTAGGGACTTCCTTCCCCGGGGCTCCGGCATCGTCACCCGCAGGCCTCTCATCCTCCAGCTGGTCAACTGCGGTACAGGTGGGTTTCTGCCGTCCCACGTCTACCTGCCTGCTCACCCGGCTTCCTGCTCACCCGCTGCCTGGTTTCATTGTGTCCCTTGTAGCACTACCAGTCACAAATAATCTGGGTTACTTACATTTTCATAATACATATTACAGGACTCGCAAAATTCCTGAATCCCTGGTAACCTTTTGGCCTGGTATTATTGAGATTTTGGTAGCCCAAAATTAATTTTGATTGGCCCAAATAAAAAGACTATTTAAAACTTAGATTTATTTGAGAAAGCAATAATAATAAAATGATGATAACCTGGGACGCAGCGTGGTGAAGTATCCTTCTGCATCACGGACATCAGAGGAACGCAAAAAGAAAGGACTCACTCCCTGCAGCCGCACATCCAGGGATAATATATCGATCAACAATTTGCCTTTAAAACACATTCACTTATGTGCGATCAAGCCACATTTATTGTAATAACAGGCACAGCACTGTAACGTTAACATTACATCACAGATCAACATAATTGCTTAGCGTTACCATTACATGATGAAAATAATATAATACTAAACAATATATAATAAATTAATAATAAGCAGGAGGTTTATTTTGTACTTATCTATGACTACACAGA